AAGTACAGACAAGCAGAATTATACTTTTTTCCCCCCTCTAATGCTTCTTCGTCATCAGCTTACACGTAATTCTGCTCACGTTTGGTGTTTGCTATAACTTGTTCGTCTCCTGCATTTCAGCATCCATAACTTCATCTTCCTGCTTCAATGCATAACCCCCTTTCTCTCCATGAAGAATTTGCAAAGGAACCCAAGTTAAGAAGTTTATAGTAGAAGTAGCAGAAGCATGACGAATCTTTGTTTAAACAGCTTTTTGATATTGAGAATCAGCATTAGTCCAAGCGCACTGATACAATATAAACATTTATTTTAAAGCACCGACACACTTGCGTTTCAGAAAATTGTTGTCAGTTATATATGTACAATACGGTGCAGCGTCTCATTCCAATAGCTCCTTCTCAGTTGCTAACATCAGATTGAAAAGTAGAAATTATATACCCATCTCGAGTTGTAGGTTGAGATGTTGTTTCTTCTCCTTGACCTATTTCATGTATCAACTTGATGAGCTTCTCATTTTCTGGTACAACCTTGGTGCGCAGATTCTGCTTCAACTGAGACTTCACAAAATTCTTAGCAAGTAATTCCACGTTCTCAGCATCAACTTGGATGCCATATTTTTTTTATAAACAGTCTTCTAATCACAAGTAGTTGCTGCAATTCACCACATCTTGAGGCTGCCCATATCACACTTGCTATGGCTTCCCTCACCTTCATAGGCAAGTTTTGCACACAACCGCAATAATAATATCGTCAGAATTCTGAGCTCATGAGAAAACGATGGTGACTGAAGAGTTAGATGAGAGAACTATATAACTTGAAAGTAAAAAGACTCCTGTGTGGATACCTATGCTCGCAAATATCTGCCATGTTGGTGATGATGCATTCACAGAAGTTCTCTATCTGATTATATGCAGCCACTTGACACTCGTCCCTGTAAAGTTGTTCAACCTGAAGTTTAGGGGCTGAGCGCATTTTCCTTCTAAAAGAGGGTGCTATTTAATTCTCTATTCTACTCTATCCATTTAGTTCTTCTTCACTTCTCTTGTCAATTGTAAGAAGTAATGTGAGCCATTATATTTGAAGCAATCTTTATATGTGTAAACTAGTGATGCAGTATTGTCAAGAAAGAGAGAGAGAGAATAATGAACCACGACGAAAAAAATGGAATGGAATACATACAGACTTAGTGGCGTTTATTTCTGGGGATATCAAAAATTAGGACTTTCAGGTATAGAAACAAACGTTTAGTCAGGTAAGACCTAACTAATTAATCTCTATTTCTATCTGTCTCCACTGGGATTCTGGAGCCTAATGGGTTTCGTCTTGGTGTTAAATGCTCTCTTCTTGATAGCATCAAAGTCATGAAACTAATTAAGAGGCAGAAAGTACCCTGGAGGATAGGGCATGGGGGAGGCGGCCATTGTGGAGGAGTTGAGCAATGTCAGCTCGTGACTGCTTTATAATTGTGAGCTTCCCCTTCTTTTGAATACTTACACATGCTTGAACTTGCATTATCACTTTCTTCCTACAACACAATTGAATCCAGAATAAATACATAAAGCTTTGTTATTAGTGAGCTTCAATCTGGTCATGAAATTAGAATTTTAGAGGGAAAAAATCAGAGGGACTGAGATATCATAACTCCCTCTTTGAAAACAAGGGATAGAAGTCAAAAAGTAGTAATTAATTCGCCAAATTGATTTTGCAAAATTTTAACTCCAAACCAATGCTTTTATATCATGAACTCTTCAACCCAATTATCACGATATCGTTGCAACAAAGTATTTAATACACTGGCCAAATCATGTGAGGAAAAATTTTGGCTTCAACTCTGACAATATGGGAAAAAAATTAATAAACTCTCTTGATTTCAACTTTTGATAACTAACCCATATGTCAACAATTTCATAAATATTCCTACCAAAAAATTCAGCTGCGAGTCATTCTAATCCTAATCCCAAATACCAAAATTTGAAAACTTCAGCACAAAAATGATTGAAACTGTGTGAGTCATCAGTTAAAAAAAATAGCTAAGATAGTATAAACACATTTACATAAATAAATTAAAAAAAATACTTCTAGAATGTCGAACAGAAGAAAAGTAGAGAAAAAACAAAGGTTATAAGGCTTGAATATGAAGCTAAGGCAAAAGGGGAAAGAATTGAATGCTAAAGATGAACAGGAGACAGCTATATACATACGCAAAAATCAATGTCATGTGCATCTTCTAATAATAGACACCAACAAAAGCTATACAAATGAGTTGTGTTATTTGTCACTAACTTGACAATCTAACATTATCAGCAAATACAACACACAAACATTACTTTTGTGACTTCTTGTTATTTTCATATTACAATAAAGTCTATTTTAAACTCAAATCACCTTGAAAAGGAGATGTGTAAACTTCTCTTTGATTGATTAATTCCAGGCAATGCATATCATTACATAAAAACAATTTATTCCTGATAAAATTAGCACTAAAAAACTATTCTATTGATAATTTTCGATGGATTACATAGCTAATTCGATTTTATTATTAATTTCGTCGCTAAATTCTATCATTAATCAATTTTTTTTAATGTATAAAAATAGGGGTGTTTAGTTATGTTTTAAAAAAGGGATTTTTCTCTGATGTTAATTAGGTCGTGCTTATATATCAAGAAATTGTTCAAAAAAATACTTGTTAAACAATCAGAAGACTTCAGGGCCCAAAAAAAATAATTGATTAATTAATCATAAGATTGTTGAAGAAAATGGGTTACCACTTATGAGAGGCTTTTGAACAGCCCTAATTTCTTTAGACCACATTGCTTTTGATGCAGACGGCTTCTTCATTTTTGTTCAAAGAATGGCAACACAAACCAGGAACCTGAACATGACCCAGTCAATTCTTAAGAGCTGCACACACGCACGCACATATATATTGTATAGGAGATTTGAACACACTATAGCTTGATTTGGCTCAATATATTTGACGATAAGTAAAAATGGTTACAAAATCAAAATACCCGTCAGTTAATACAGTTTTAGATCACACCCACGAGCTTATGATTAATCATGTGTTTGGTTTACTTCCATGCATCAAGATAATATTTGTTCAATTTGTTGATTTCATGGTATTTGGTTGGCACAGTGAAGTAATATAATTCTGATTGCAACATATTACAACAAAACATTTATTAATATCTATTATATAACTTTAATAAGGGGTATAATCCATATTCAAACTTCTACTAATGAATCAACATGTGGATCTATATCTAGCCTCCACTGGGATAAAAATATCATTTCATATTTATTTATATTCTTCTAGATAAAATATAAATTTCATATCATGATTTCTTAATAACATACCTAACAAATACTCTATAACCATCATTCAATTACGTTACATTTTCTGGCATTAAAGGGCCACTCAGATTTTGCATGAATCTGCCATATCTGGCCCGGGAAAGGCAATAATTGTCGTGGATGATTTCTCGTGAAAGTCTTGAGACACATCAAGATGATATTATAATATGAATACGCAAAAAAAAAAAAAATCAAATAGCTATATGTGATTGAATATACGTCCTCTTTAGAATGTCGTTTATATTTATATTGTTCAAGCAATATTTTTTTATTAAATGTAAATCTAATTTTACAAATATCAAAAGAACCAGTCTTGCAACCATTTTGATAAAACCGGGCCTCACTACCTAATTACCTTATGCGAAAATATATTTATTAGATATTAATATATATATATATATAGACACAGAATCACTTAAAGCTTCGTTTATCAAAAATGATTTGTTACTTGTTTGTTAATTATCAAAGTGATTAAAATAATCCCAACTCAATCTTACATATAATTAAAATAAAATAAAATAAAATAAAATAAAAACACATGAATATGACCCTGCGGGGAACACATGGATGAAAGATGCGTGATGGTAAGGTTGCTTAGAGGGGAAGAATAAAGGAAAAGGCATATAAATAGAAAGACTTTGATGATTGTTGTATTGTGACATTTCACTTATTTTCCTTCCTTCCCAATTCATCCATTTATTCCATCACCTTCTCCTACCCACCCCCCAATATTTATATCCAATCAACTCCCTTCTTTTATTTTTTCTTTTTTTTTTTATGAAAAATGGATCAATATAATTTTTCAATAACCCAAAATCATGCATGTTATTGGTGTTTCAAAAGAAAAAAGAAAAATAAGTATGATAAATAAACATGGGGAGTCTATTTGCTTCTCCTCCAACCTTTCTCATTACGTACGAACATTTGGGCGGGTCTCACCCACCGACTTGACCCCATCAAATCCTATAATGCCCCTCCATCTACTCTTCCTTTCTCAACTTTCACCCTTCTTCTTGTTTGTCAAATTTTATAATTAAAAAAACAGATATTAATGATTAATTTTAATTAAATGATTTTACGAAATTTGGAATAAATAAATATGATTTTTCCTCCTCTTTCCACTTGCCTCCACCTCAAAGCTTGCACAATCTGATGACTCATCCCCTAAATATTTAAAAATGATATAATCCTTACAATCCAACAAAAGATCTCTTCATTATGAGCTAACCTTTCTGATTCTTAAAGCATGAAATTTATTTTTTTTTTTTTTTGCGAGAAAAAAGTATGATATTTATTAATGATACACCATAAACAAAAATAATAATGTATGAGAAGTTTAACGCAGATAATACCTATAAACAACCCAAATGGCCACTTAATATTAATACACATCTTTTTTCACCTTGAAACATAACCATCTCCAATAACTTTTGAGTATTCAAGCAAAATTAAAAGCATATAAGGCTTGTATGTGAAGCTTAAACTCTGAAGCAAAGTGCGAGAAAAGGCCATGGCTTGTTAAGTAATTTCAGTGTTGGCAGGTGAAATACGCATTTTCAGAATTAGTCCATCGGTGCGACGTCTTTTTCCTCTTGTTGCTTTTCCTTATTTTAAATAAGTTTCATGCTTTTATGTCATTTACTGTATAATAGCTTGAATCCTCTGCTATATTGCTTGAGAGCTGGTTCTCTTCCATTGCGGGTGCCGTGAGAAACAGAGCATATATACAGAGATCAGGCTCCTTTCTGTTGCTTTTGGCACTCTCATTCATCCTCCATGGCTTCCAAGATCTTGCTTATTTCTGTCTTCGTGATCGACTTGATCGCTTTTGCGTTGGCTGTAGCAGCCGAGCAAAGAAGGAGCACTGTGAGTATTCAATCTTCTTCTAGTTTTCATTCTTTTATATCTCACTATCTGCTATGTTTTGTCTCTCTTGTCACATCACAAGCCACGAGAGGCTGATTCGGGTACAATCATGTTGTTGTTTTTGTGTTTGTGAATGGTCGTAAATATGTGTTAAAGAAGAAGAACGTGAATTTGTTTTCCTTGGTTCCCCAAGAAATTCTTTGGGAATGAGAATCTGCTCTGAATTTACTAATGTTTTTGTTTCTGGGTTTGTGAATGTTTTGCCGAATATCTTGATTGCTAATTTTTGGTTTGGAAATGAGAATATGAGTCCGAATACTATGATTTTTTGTGTCTGAGAAATGTGGACGGGATAAAGCATAATTCTTTATGTTTACTATGTGTTTGAACTTAAGCCACATACAATCTTTCCTCTGTTTCTATGCCGTGATCCATCTAAGGTTGGCGGAATTTGTCTACTGCAGAATGGTTTGCTTCTGTTAATTCATCTTGATATTCCAAATGAAACAATCTTGAATAGTATGCATTCTTGTGACGTTCGAGTCATACTGTAATAGTGATTTCTTTTTCTTCTTTTTTTGGCTACATTTAGCAGTAGACTTCCAGATCTATGTACATGTCTTATAGTTCTACCTATACCCGACAACATTTGCTCTGATTCTGCACTCCAGATCTCTTTCTTTACCTATCTATACCTGTGAAATTCATGCATATGCGTAAAGAAGAAGTTTCAATCATATGCCAATATCAAAGTGCTTGCTCTTTATTTTTGCCAAAGCTTGATCTTTATTCTATTTTGTTTTGGTGACATGCTCTTTATTCCTTTCATCAATGCAATTGTTAATGGGGCTAAGTTATCTCCTGGTTCACAAAGCCAATTTGTTGGGCTTAGTCCTGGACATGACTTCAGAATTAATGCGCTCAGATCTAAGCCCAAGAATTGGGCCTCCACAATTTCAAGGCCCTTAGTTTGGAGGCCTGAGTGTAGATTTGAAACGAAAGTTGTTATTGATTCTTAAGCTTGCAATTTAATGTTGAGGATGCTGGGTAACAGAAGACTGATGTTTGTGTGCATTTTTTGGCAGGCGACAGTTGTTCAGGACAAGGAAATGAATTATAACTACTGTGTGTATGACTCAGACATATCAACTGGATATGGCGTTGGGGCACTTCTGTTCCTTATGGTCAGTCAAGCCCTCATAATGGTCGCCAGCAAATGTTTCTGCTGTGGGAAGCCTCTCAGCCCCGGAGGTTCAAGGGCTCTCGCTCTTGTTCTTTTCATAGTCTGCTGGTATATATATTAACCACTCACTCTTCTGTGCTTTTAAGGAAAACTCTCAACTAAACTCACCAAGTTCAGACTTCTTTATGGCTAATTTTACTCTCAAGACCATAAATACTCATTGAATAATAACTCCTTTAGAAGTCAAGTGTTTTTTGATTATTAGATCAGTTTTGAGATTCGCACTCCATTAATTTTAAAAAGAATCTCAAACTAGTAATGGATTGTGGTGGTCAAAACACTTAATCCTCTATAGAATGTTAGTTTCTCGTTGGTTATTTACTGTATAGTTCTTGATGCATTGAACTGACTATCATTATATGCAGAATTCTATTGAAATACTTAAGATGTGTTTGGACATTTGTCACCATTCATTCCAAAGCATGTTTAGCGAGATACAAGAAAAGGTTGTATTTCAAAAATGTATGTTTAGGCAGCCAAACGCAGAAAAACAAACTCATCTTTAGATGATGTTTCATTTCCCCTTCGCAGGACCCAAACCCACATTAGAGTCAGGGCAACCATAACATTTCTTGTTTAGCTCCCATAGAACCACACATGAGGCAAAGCAAATCTACCCCTAAACCCACATTGAGCCAAAACAACCAAACCCAAGTTTTGCGAACTCTAATCCAAACACACCATTATATAGATCACTTCATAGTTTTTGCTATGTTTGAACTGAGCGTTGTTTGTATGATGCAGGGTGTTTTTCTTCATAGCAGAAGTATGCTTGTTGGCAGGATCAGTGAGAAACGCGTATCACACAAAGTACAGAACCATATTCGGTGACAATCCACCATCTTGCCAGACAGTGAGGAAGGGAGTGTTCGCCGCCGGAGCAGCTTTCGTCTTCTTCACAGGAATCGTCTCAGAGTTCTTCTACATCAACTACTCAAGAGCCAGAGACAGCTTCCAACCTTATGGCGGTGCTCCTGACACTGGTGTCGGTTTGGGAACCTTCAAGTGACTTCACACCCTCCTTAGATTATTACTTTGACAGCAATGTGATTAAGTAATTGTTCCATTTCATGGATTCATCAATCCCATAATCTCTGTTTTAAGGTTTCCGTATAGTGTGATCCTAAAATATATGTATACTCAATTACTTTGTCTACCATTTTATGATTCTTTTGTTCGTTTGCTTCACAGAGGGCTGCTTCATTTTTGGTGCCTTCGCTAGAAATTTTATTCCTTCCGTTTTATTCCTTCCAGTTCTAAATATAAGATCCTTCTTATAGTGTAAATTACACTACAAAAAAATTTTATATTTAGAACCGAAAGAATATTATATACGTACCAATAAGGAAATCTGTATGTTTCTGGCATTCACTGCATCGTTTACCATCCAGAGTTGAAGGCTTGTTTGAAAAAAAGTTCTTTTTTTGGGGGGGGTTAATTTTCTTAAAAGATGCTTAGTTATATTTCTGAATGATTTAAAATTTCTTATTTATTTTTAAGAATATACGGAAACATCTTTTCAAACCAAAAGTTCTGTCAAACTTTCTAAAAGTTTATTTATTCATCTGAAATCTGAATGTACTTTTAAACTTAATTCAAAATTTTGAAATTACACGACCATATATTTTTAAAAAATTGGGCATTCTTTCCCGTGCATTGTATAAATTTAATGCGTGCGTGTGAGACTCAATTTTTAGATTCAACGTCAGCGTATGCCAGTAGAAATCAACAAAACAACTATATAATAGGAGTTTTATTTCAACTTACATGGAATTTTTTTTTTAAAAAAAACACTTTCAGGAGAAACCAAATACGTAATGTTTTCAAATTGGCAAAAAAAGAAATAGAGGATAAAATGCATCCAGAAGAATACAATATAGAGTGTTTATTACAAAATGAACACAAAATATAGAAGTTCACATAAGTGAGTCTGATCCGGATGGGGGGGAGTCTGATCCAAAATATTTTGACCCAGGGCCCACGAGAATGTTTGATAAAAAAAGAGAATGTATGGAACCAAAAACACGGGCTTCAAATATGGCCCATGAAGCATTTTGTTAAAGAGAGCTTCTTGCGTCACTTCCTGGGCCTTGAAAGGCCCATATTACAAAGTCGCCTATCATGTGTGAGACATGTTAGGCTACAAACTGTTTGAGGGAGGCTCACCATACAAGACCAGAATTATTTTAAATGCACAAAATTTTGACATGTGGAATCTATCTAAAAATTTAAATTAAATACTACTAGTCCCTGGTTCTACTTTATAAAAGTTGTTTGTGAAATTATTTTGGTCTTATTCATAAATCCATTTTATTTCTCTCATTTATTAATCTTTTTGTCCAAATTACCCGTGTTAGAAAATAAATACTGAATTAATTTTGCTTTCTCTCGCTAATGAATCATTAAATTAAGAGGTATTTTATGAAAAATATAACAAACTTTTACAAATGAAAGGTAAATAATTAACTATTTTTAATAGTAACTATGGATTAATTAATATAATCTTATACATAGAATCAGAGAGACAGTATTCCCTCTGTCCCTTATTATAAGTAATATAATACTCCATTACATAGATCAAAAAGTTATTTGAAAATAATAAATAGGTAAAAATTAGAAGTTCTTTCTCCAAAATACCCTTATTTATATAAGAGAGTATAAAAAAAATTATTATAATAAAGATAATTATAAAAGAAAGAGAAAGTTTGATGGAAAGAGATGATGGTTTGGAAAATAATACAATAAACATATTGAATATTAAAATAAGTAATTAATGGGGACAAACTAGAAAACTTGCTACAAAAATTTAAAATAACTTATAAATGTTACTTATATTTAGGGACAAGAGGATGATGATAGTTGTTGTTTATAAAAAGGACGGAGGGAGTATATTCTTAATTTTTTGTGCCAAAATAGTATAAAGGCACCAAATCGAAGAAGGTGTCTGGGTGAAACGAAAATTACTGTTAAAAAGTATTTTCACTCTAATCAAAACAAAAATCCTCTCACATGTTTACTTTGAAGTATTTTGGAAACTCCAAAAAAATTTTAAAAATGCTTTCACATAAATCAAAATAAAACTCTTTAACATAACTACTTCATATGCTGTAAAATTATTTTTAAAATTATGATTTGATTCCACCCAAAACACCCCAAATAAAATGCCAATATCGTAGATATGTCATAAGGTTATTGTGCATGAGTAGAACACAAGTAATTTCATTCACTGGCAACTATTTAAATATCCAATTTTTAAACATGCATTAGTATCAAGCAGACTTTGGTGTTCTCAAAGAAATTGAAATCCACACCATGGGTAAGGGGAAAGTTTTATTTGAATTTTTAATCATTTATTATACCAATTTTATATAGTATAATATATATACCACTGGTAATTAAAATATAGTATCCGTTGGTCAAATATTAATTTATATTTACATATAATCTCTTGCAAGTGGCATCATTTACAAACTATAAACATGCATATAACTCAATTATTAGCATGCGACTCGAGATTTAATTTGCAGCAATAATTTACATTTTTATTTGATTTATTTAGTTTTCATTTTTAAAAAAGAGCATTAATGCATCGATGTAACATGCTTGCTTAATGCCGTGCTATACACAAGTGTCTGGAAATTATTTAAATACATTGATCAATATCAATATATGTGGCCAAAAAAATATCAGTGTATAAAATAAATTTTATAATAAACCGCACAATTCATAATTGATGAACGGTATAGCTGACCTAACAATTTTATAAAATAGACGATAAATATATCTAGTTATTCTAAAAATGATTAAAACATAGACCAATGTAAAATATTCAAAGGGCAAAAATCCACGTTATTGATCAATAAGAAACAGTAGAATTCATCTCAAATCCAATATATGAGGTATAAGGTACTTATTCAACACAGCGTGATACTGTTTGAGCATTTTATTCCTAAATATAAGTGATTTGTAGAGTATTTAATGATCATTTTTTATTTTTAATCCTTACTGGATTCTCGTTAGAAAAAAAAGAAAAAAAAAGTAAAGTAAGAATAATTTGTAAATACAGAGAGAGATGAAAATCTAATAAAGATGAATTTAGAAAATTTTATTAATTTAATGTATTTTTTAGTATGTAAGAATAAGTTACAGTTTATTATAAGGACATGAGTAGTAGTTTGGAAATTTATGGAAGAATTAAACTTTGAACATTAATTTATAGTTAAGTTAGAATATAAGGGAAAGATTAATAGAGCACATGGAGGGAGGTTTAGAAAAGTGAAATGTGGCAATGTAGGAGGGGTAGTTGGGGGATTGTGTGGGACGATTGGGATGTGATGGGGTCCTCTAAGATAAAGAGAAGAGGGAAGGAATAGTTAAAAAGAAGCACAAAACCCCAAACACAGGGAATTGGATATTTAAATTTGGGATACTAAACAAATAAGAAACCCTTTTTAGTTTTTTAGGCATTGAGCTAATCTACCAAATCAATGCATTTGGTACCCTCTTGTACTTCCCCTTCCTTATCCTTTTGTCATTTGCCACACAAAAACCAAATTACATTTCACGACCCAACTTTTAGGATATTTCCATTACAACAGATTTGGTCTGGGTTTCATTTTTCAAGCACATTTTCTCTTAACTTTTTTTAATTGAGTAAATTATATAGATTATTTTCAAATTCTTTTAAACCCAAATTAACATTGGATTCAAGGAGCATTACACAATTAATTCTCCAAACAGTTATTTATCAGCAATTTTTTTCTTTTTTAAAAAGTTTTTTTTAAAAAAATTTTGTCAAACAATCACAAGTCGCTCAAAAAGACAAGCGGCGTTTATAGTGTATTAAAAAACAAAGATAATTATACTATTTACAAACCACGGCTATGTGACCCATGCACCCTAAGCTCCCCATAATAAATCTTTGACTCCACTCTAATTTTTAAATTTTTTTATGATAAGGACAAATTAAAAAATGTCAAACAATATTATTAAAAATTTTGGAATTTTGTTAATGGCCAAAATGCAAGTGTTTTGAAACCGAACCAGTTCTGCCAAACATTGACAGCTGATGATATCACTCGCATAAAGCTCTTTCCAGGTTTGACACAGATAGATCCATAAGTTATTAACGGAAAATTGCAATAAAGTAAAGAAAAAATGTAATTACCATAAAGTCCTATAAAATCTTAGTGGCAACTGAGCAGCTGGTAAGACAAGTTTCAAATAGGAATTGACAACTTCTCTCTTATTATTGGGACTTTTTTATAGTTATTGTTTTTTTTTATGGGAGTCTAATTTAATTCTCCCCATTATTAATGGCCTCTAAGAAAATCCTACTAGCTTTTTTTCCTTATCACGTCCCCAACATTATTTCACTATAATCATCTTTTGTCCTTCTTCTTCGCCAATATTCTTGCTTTTCCCTGCCCTGACCACCACATCTCTGCAGAAAATAATGTAGCTCCAACAAAGAGCCATTATATTCAAAGTTTTGATTAAATTGATCTAATATCATTAAATCCACGTATAGCGTAAAATTCATTTTAAAAAAAAAATTAAGAGAGTGTGACTGGCTTTCAGCGTCTGGGTAATACGGAAGAGGACACATCTATCTGATTATGATGAATAGTTGGCTTCTGGATTCTTCAAACCTGTAAGTGGTCAAAAGGAAACACTAAAAGACATGAATTACGGTCCAATAATTATACGTATTATGAGTTAGGCCAGTACGGGTACGAACATTCTGATCACTTTGAGACTGAAAAACAAAACCCCCCCTCATAAAATATTTTTAAATATTAACAAAATTCCCACGTTACTCTGAATTGACCTGAGTCCATAGAAGAGAACGAAGTAGAGGTTTTTCTACTGTTACTTTGCAATTCATTGTTTCTCCATTAACCTTTGAAACAAATCAGCCTAGTTTCTCTAAATAAGCAAATTTCAAATGAGGCCAGATAAATCACCATCTCAGATACACACACACACACACACACATATATATATGGGTGGCCAAGTTGGGCATTTTTGGCCAAGTTGGGCATTTATTTTTTGTGTTTCTGCAGCTTGATCAATAGTACAGTGCACATGCATGGGAGGTTTCAACCAGGAAGACTGAAAAAGAGAGGTTGGAATGGCCAAATCTATATGTAGGTTCAGGATAGCTGCAACGTGCTCTCAGCTTTGCCCAGTTTATGACAATGTATAGCATCTTTCTTTCCTCCAACTATACGTGTTTATATGC